CACCCTTCTGAGTCCTTTTCTAAATTCTTTTATTAATGAGACTAAGAACCCACAAAAGGGCACCCCAGTCTCCCCAGTAACAGGCGGTGAGGCATAAGAGAAAGAGTCCAAACTAGATCTGTGCTAGAGTGAAGAGTCTTCCCTGCCCAGGAGATGCAAGGTGAGAAGAAAGAGGATGAAGGGGCCATTTGCAACCAGCTGCTTTCCAGGCTCCATTTGGGAAATGCAAACATCTATGCCAGCTTCCACAGGTACAAATGACAGGACCCACAGAAGATAACTTTCTAATGCAGACATCAGGCACCTGCCACGCCCTGGACCCCTTTTGAGGCCTACAAATACCAACATGTTGACATCCTCTGACACAAGAAGCATGGTTGATAGTAACTCCCTTTGCAGATGGCTTGGGCGGTGATTGATGATAATACCCTTTAGATGTAGACAGCAGGTGTTTCCATTGCCCAGACAAGTTAGAGGCCTCCTGTGATAAGGACAAAATCCTGTCTTACAGCGTAAAGAAGACCAACCCAAAGCTAAATGGTGAAAAGAACTATAATACACCCAAAGATGTGACAGGAAGATTGGAGGCTATCTACCCCCCGATGACATACATACTTACACACTGCCACAGCCACTCCCACAATGCACTTTCTTGCAGACTCACTGACCAGCCTGCCACTTTCTGAATTCTAAGTCTAAAAGTGTCACCTTCTCCCTTCCCCCTATATAAACTCCCTACCCTGGATACTAACTGAAACCCTAAACCTGCTTACCCTGACACTCTCTCTGGGCCCCCTCACCTCAATGAAGTGACTCACAGATGTCTGCTGCTGAGCAGTCTGCCTTCTTGACTTCAAGATCAGTAAGTGTAGTAAGTGTAACTTGATTTCTCCTTTCCATCTCCCCACTACCAGCAACAGCTGAGATACTGGTCATGCTGGGAGTGACAAGCCAAGGTGTGGGAATAAAAATATTTACCAGACAAAAATAGATATCAAGGTTTTAATAAAGCCAGGTATGATGGCACACTCCTTTAATCCCAGCACTCAGGAGGCAGGGGCAGACAGATCTCTGAGATCAAGGCCAGCCTGATCTACATAGCAAGTTCCAGGTCAGTTGGGTCTACAGAGAGACCCTTTCTCAAAAAACGAAACAGAAAAGATTATACACCATCCATGGTGCAATCTATAAATCACTCTGGATTAGAGAGAGAGGGAGAGGGAGAGAGAGAGAGAGAGAGAGAGAGAGAGAGAGAGAGAGAGAGAGAATAAATATGAATCATGCCCCTGAGGGATCCTTTTTGGAGTAGTTAAGAGAAGTTATATGGCTTTGTCTCTCGGGCCACTTGTGGATCATATCTGCATAGCATTCAAGAGGGTAGCTCACTATCCGGCTTAGCACTTCAGGAGCTTTGCTGAGCCCCATGAGGGGCATGATCTTTATGAAGTAGAAGAGGCTCTGGAAGACACAGGTGACTCAAACTGGGCTTATAAAGTGTTAAAACAACTGAAGTGGAATGAAAAAGAACAAGCAAAGAGCGGGACCTGTCTAGGTCACTCAAAAGCAAATGTGGCAAGATTTATGCTGAGCAAGGGTTCCTAATGAAACAAAAAAAGGGACAAAAAGCCAGAGATTTTTGGTTTGTGCTTGTGGGCCTCTGAAAGGCTTTAAAGCCTGAACAACAGTTCACTATAGGGGTAGATGACAGGGAGCTGCAGGTGTTCCCCACTGTTGTGAAGAAAGGGGGTCTTAGAGGGTAAAGACCATCCTAACTGCTTCCCTAGTGGGGTGGCCAGGGTGGCTTACAGGGCGACTGGAGGGTCCATGCTGAATTATTGGTTCTCTAATGGTGTGCAGAATGCTTGGGCTTTGGATGCTGGGGTCAGGTGTGTCTTGGTCCATAACCACCCCCTAGAGACACCAAAGGTGACAGGTAGCAGGGGATGAATGTGAAGGTAGATTGATGCAGATGGAAATCATTAGGCTTGTCCAGCATACACTGTGTACAATGCCCCCATGTGGAAAGTGTACCTGGAGTGGGTGTACTGCTGGGATACACCCAATATTCTAGTTTCCTTTCTATTGATTTGTGGAAAGTGTACCTGGAGTGGGTGTACTGCTGGGATACACCCAATATTCTAGTTTCCTTTCTATTGATTTCACAAACACCATGACAAAAAGCAGCTTGAGGGAGGAAAGGGTTTATTTCACTTTCACGTCACAGTCCATCGCTGAGGAAAGTCACACAGGAACTGAAGTGGGAACTTGAAACAGAAACCATGGAGGAATGCTGCGTGATGGCTCAATTTCTGGCCTGTTCTTAGACTGATGCTTATATAGCTTTCAAATATAGCCCAAGGCCACATGCCTGTGGAATGATGCTGCCCACAGTGGGTTGAGTCCTCCTGCATCAATTAATAATCAGGACAATCCCCAACAGAGTGGACCAATAATCAAGACAATCCCCAACAGATTGGACATGGGCCAATCTGATCTTGCCAATGTGTTTTTGTATTTCCTTAGCTTCTGAATCCCAAGACCAAGTTGTACTTGCTTAGAACAGATGGCAGGGGACCTTCAGAGATCTTGCCCACCCTGTGTAAAAAGGTTTCATTACATGGATGTCATAATGCTAACTTCTGAGTGTCTTACAGATTTCTAAAATCATCTAGAAGAACAGCAAAACAGCAGTTAGAAAGTTTGAACAAAGGCCTCCTGCATGCATGGGAAAAGAGGTGCCGAGAGGCCATAACAATCCCAGTGCTAAGGGTGAATTATCTCCCTCCCAGGGAGGTTCCTGAGGCCTTCTCAACCCCAAAAGACTGTTGCCACTACTATTGGTTACGTGCCAGAACTAGAAGTTAAACCCCTACTGCTGAAGATACTGCATGCTCTGGTTGTAGAATAGTCAAGCTGGACTAATCTGGAAGCTTCCTCCTGGTGGGGGTGATTGCCACTAAAAGTCCTCCCTAGCTATGAATCCTGCATGTCAACACCATCAACATGCCAGACAAGATGTACCTGCCAGTGCAATAGTGGCATAACTGTTATGAATGCAACCAACTGTTTTCCCATTGGCTAAGGCCTGTGCCATAGGAAAGAACCCATGTTTGGTACTGTACGCCAAGGCCATAACTTGTGTCTGAGGACATAAAATCCCCAAGGAGGCTAATACTATGGTTTTGTTAAGCAGCTGTGATGTATTTATTAAATTGTCTTCTAAGTGTTTATGGCCGTAAATTGTCACTGTTGTCGGCTATGACTGAGGGATGCTTCTATGTGCAGTGAGCAGCATTTACCACAGAGATTCATAACCAGTCAAGCTTTGAGGATAAACGTCCATTCGTGCAGTCTAGAGACACAATGCTCAGAAAATTCATATATGCATATTATATATTTATATTACATGTAAATATATAATCCCCTCTAAGGGCAGGTTCAGGAAACACTGACAAAAAGCTGATGGAAAGGATGTAAGAGCTGAAGAGCTATAGAGAAATGATTTCCTCCAGGCTCAGCATGACCGTCAGCCATGTGGAGCAGCGATTGCTGATGTGAACGTACAGAATACCTTGACACACAGCCATGGTAATGAAATAAGCAAAACAACACTGAAGTAAATAGGTTAAAAGCAATGGAAGTGAAATGGTTGGTGCTCCCTTTCAGATGGAGGTGAGGGTCACCAGACCTGAGGTTCCAGTCCTGCTCCTTCATACCCCCAGTTACATCTGATCTTGGGTGTTAGAGTCTGTAAGAGGTAAGAGTTTGACTCCAGCTTGGGACTCTGGTGCAGCTTTTGTGAGTAGTCATCCATGTTGGATGGGGCTTTTCAGTGATGCAGTTGCCAAGAGTTACCATGCTCTTGTAAGTAACTCCAGCAATTGGAGTTGGATGGAATCTGGAATTGGATGGAATCCTGGTTTTGGTCTGTTGAGGCCCTATCTAGGGTGAACAGAATTTTTGTTTGTTTCAACAGAAAAAGTTATACAACAATGGGATTCAGTTAGGCAGTGAGTGCTGGATGGAGCAGGGAGTTGGGAGTGCCAACCCCGGGGACCTGGCACCAGGGAAGGGCTCTGTTTAGACATGTCTGTGGCATCAGGACTGTGGAAGCCCTGGAAAGCCCTGACTCAGATGAGAGGCAAGAGCCAAGGCACAAGAAAGAGCAGAGAGGGAGGAGCCCAGGGCTCTCACACCTCTGCCCCACCCCCAGGTGTGCTCTCTGAGTTGCTCCTGTAAGGTTGATCCTTGTCACTTGGACCTCTGACAACAATCTCAGGCCTCATCCCCAGGGAAGTCCAGGCACTAGGCCAAAAGTCAACCTGTTCAGCAACTCTAGCAAACTGCTTCCAGGGCTGCTGGCCTTGTGATCAATAGGCCACTGCAAAATGAAAACCAAGAAGCTCAGGACTCCAACAGCAGTGCATTCTAGCTGAGCACAGCTTCCCGAGCACTGGGCCTCCTGAGCTGGGATCCTGTCAAGCATGGAGCTTGAGCAACACAGGGAGTTATGTGCCTGAGAGGACAGCCTTCAAGAACAATTCTAATGCTAGAGAGGGCATGGAATTTGGAAGGCCCTAAAGTAAGCAGCCCTCAGAGCATCCTCTGGGAAGGTGTCTCCTGGCCCTTTGAGCCACATGTTCCTTCCCTACCTCCCACCACTTGCCGTCTGGGTGACACAGAGGGCCCTGCCAGGGCCAACTCCAGGGAAGAGCTTTATTCTAACTCCAGTGGCTGGCCATCAAGGCCACACCCTAGTGGTTCCAGGGCTGCTGGGTCTCGGGGTGGCAGGTATGTGTTCTGTTCCAGGGTCCTTGGGGTTGGTCTTTTGAGTCTCTGTCCTCTGGCCCAGGTTCCTATCTCTTCCCAGGAGAGTGGATACAGCCACTCTGGGCCACCTGGGCCTCCTAGTGAATGTTCACAGCCTACGTGACTTCAGACTAATCTGGGAGTTCCTTGCCACTGTCACAGGATCCCCTGGCTCATGATACATGCACACTCCTCCTAGGTCAGGGTCAGGCTCTGGGAGTTCTGGCTCTTCTGGGTCTTAGTAGAGGGCACAGCCCGTGTGGATGCATCCTGGAACTCCTTAGTCATGTAGTAGTAGCAGATGGCATCCAGGCAGCAGTTGGCATCTGAGAGCTTGCCAGTCACGGAGAGGGCATGGATGAAGTTGTGGCGGGTTATACAGGTTAGCTGGCCCAGGGAGACCTGCACTGTCAGGACCACATGCAGTGGCAGGAAGCAGATGATAAACACAACTAAGTTGGCCCAAACCATGCGAGTGGCCTTGAGGGTGACCTCTGCCTGCCCTACGTGAGTGGCTGGCCTCCGGGCCAGTGCAGTCACAACCTGCAAAGAGCAGAAGACCACCACAACTAGTGGCAGGTAGAAACCAAACAGCAAGAAAGAGATGTTGTCAAAGCTGTACCGGGTTGGGTTTCTGAAGCAGAAGCTACCCTCTTTCAGGTACCAGCGTACCACCTGGGAGCTGACCACCACCACCCAGAGGGCCACACACACTGCTGCAGCCTGTCGTGGGGAGCGTAGCCCACGGGCGCGCAGTGGGTGCCGAACGGCCAAGTATCGGTCCACAGCAATGGCTGTGACCAAGCTGATGCTCATGTATCTGTTGACCAAGTAGATTCCTTGTGAAAGCTGGCAGACTGGTGTGTCTGAAGTGTCCTTCAGGGAGTACAGCATGAAGGGTATGGAGCAAAGCAGGCAGAGGTCAGCCACAGCCAGATTGGTCATGTAGACACGGGTCTCCGTCCACTGGTGCATGCGATGGCAGAACACCCAGAGGGCCAAGCCGTTGAGCAGCAGGCCCAGCACCAGCAACAAGACGTGGTAGATGGTGAAGACATAGGAGATTGGGTCAGGCCAGTCCGGGGTGCTGCAATTTGCATTCATGGTCCTGGGGCTGTAGGGGGGAGGAGGTCAGCAAAGACAGGTAGAGGGAGGACCCCCAGGGCGAGGCTCCGGCCCCCCCAACCCCCACCCCAAGGCCTGCCCATCTCTGTCCAGGAAACCAGGAATAGCTGAGTTCTATACCATGCTCCTGGACCACACACCCAAAACTCCCCCTTCCAAAGAAGTCATAGAAACTGTGGAAAGCTCAGAGTCACCCTCAACACCTAACCCATGCTCACAGGAAGGGAGACCAAAGCATGCCGAAGGTTGCAGTGGCCAGCCCAAAGCTGAAGAAACTCTCACCCACATCTCCCTAGCCCTTCTCTCCTTGGACCTGCCTGATGCAGGGCACAAGGGAGGCATGATGAGATTCTGTAGGTCCTGTTCCCCCCAAGGTTCCAGCTCTTTAGAGCTCAAGTCCTGGACAGGGGCCAACGTCCACCAGCCTGACCCAGCATGCATTTCTCATCAGGGAGACCATAGAAGTGGCCTTAATGATCTGGCTAATGATCCTAAGACTGGGCCTTGCAGCCTCCTACTCCCAACCTGGCTGTAAAGAGACACCTACATTTGTTTTACACCTATACCCCAATAGGGTGGTCAGCAGCAGCCTACTCCCAACCTGGCTGTAAAGAGACACCTACATTTGTTTTACACCTATACCCCAATAGGGTGGTCAGCACCCACTCCACCTGGTCTGTCCCTGAAGCAGAGGCACAGGACAGCAGTGGGTATAGCTCAAGATTACCCTCCCAAAAGCTATGGAACCTTCCAGAGCACCGCCCCCAGGCCTGCATCACCTAAGGGCTCATCTCAGGCCCATGTCTGGGATCAGGATGTCTACCTTGAGTTAAGGGATACATAGCTCCCAGTGGTCAGAGTCCTGTCCCTCCAGGCCCCAGTTGTGCTCAGAGGCCCCTGCTACTGCCATTGCAAGGACTATCCCCAAGGTCACTGTGGTGGTTTGAATGAGAATGTCCCCAGTAGGCTCCAAGCATTTGGATATTTTGTCCCCAGTTGGCAGCACTGTTCTGGGAGGTCTTAGAAGGTGTGGCCATGCTGGAGGAAGCATATCACTGGGGGCAGGATTAAAGAGTTGTTAAGCCTTGCTGGATCTCCATAGGAAGCTCTCTTGCTTCCTGTGCCCACTTAAAGATGTGAGAGCTTAGCTTTTGCTCCTCCTCCAGCCACCTCTGCTGCCATGCCTCTTGGCCATGATGGACTCTTGCCCCTTTGAAACCATAAGCTAAATAAACTCTTCCTTTTATAAGTTGTTTGGTCAGTGTTTCTATCACAGCAACAGAAAAGTAACTGATACAACTATCCTCCACTGTTCACGATGGCCCCTTACTCCGCTGCCCACGCCTCACGACGAAGCCAGATCTTATCTAGACCCACCCAGGTGGACTTGGACAGGGGTCTGACATCCAGGGCATGGCAGGTAGTACAATAATCAGACTCCTCCCACCACCCCCGACCTCCAGGCCAGCCTTGGCCAACCCATTACAGGGCTGCTGGTGTGACTACACAGCATTGAGTGGGAACCAACTCAGGCAACAACCAACGAGTGCTGAGCTCAGGTCCACTGGACATGTAGTCCACCCCGCGGGTACCAGGAAGGGCTACAAGACTGGATAAGCATCCTAGGTCTTCTGGGTATTCCTTCAGGGGCTTCCTGATGTGGGGGATGACAGGAGGGAAGGAACTGGGTCTACCAGGCCATCTGCCTTAGAAACATAGAAGGCCCCTCCTCATACAGGAAGGGGACAAGCACCCAACCCAGTGATTGCAGACCAGGAGGGTGATGTATTCCATACTGAGCCCGAGCTCATTTCCTCTATGGTCCCCAGGGAACCCTTCAGGCCCACAGTCCATTAGGAAAGTCAAGCGCAGATTTCAGCTGAGACAAATATGCTTCTATCTTATCCTGTTTCCTGTCTAGACTCCGTATCCGCGGGATTAGCGTGGCCCATTTGCCAGCAATTAGTTTTGAGAGCTGAATTCTGCTCTCTCCCATACCACCTAGGGTTCTTAGGCCCCTAGAGGGAGCCTGGAGTCCAAGGACCTCCTCAGAGCCCCTGGTAGTAGATGCCCCTTCCTCCCAGACACAGCCCACCCAGACATAGCCCACCCAGACGTATAGCCCACCCAGACACAGCCCACCCAGACACAGCCCACCCAGACACATCCTGTGGACCCTCCAGCAGAATGAGTCTTGGGAATCTGCTTAGTATTCCATCGGAGCACCTTGGAGCTGGGCAGAATGGACCCTGGGCTACATGTGGAGGGGGCCCTGTGCTGTCTGTGGAGGGGGCCCTGCACTGCGTGTGGAGGGGGCCCTGTGCTGCCTGTGGAGAGGGGCCCTGGGCTACTTGTGGGGGAGGGCTCTGTGCTGCCAGCAGCCCACAGCACAGCTCCCACATGAAGCCTCTGAACCTGAACACTCAGCATCACCCTACCACCTTACTCTCGACCTCTAGGCTTGAGAGGGGCAGCCTGGCTTCTCAGCTACATGCACCCTGGGGGACTGAGGTGTCAGACGGGGGGGGGCATAGCCTGAACCTCCCTAATGTCTCCTGCCCCACATGGCTGCACAGAGGTTTCATGCTACATACCCAAGCTTGAAACCTTCAGGTTAGCCTCAACATGGCCCAGTATTTTCTGGGGTCAGGATAAAACCTCCAACTATGGTTTATTAACTGTCCTATTTAAAAGACAACACTGAAGTCTAAGTATAAGATGAAAATTTTGCAAGAGGTCAAGTTGACAAGAATATTGGAAGAAATGCCTGCTCAGGGGACCCTGGTCCTTCAGGGTCCTCCCCACAAAGTTCAGGATGTTAAGTGCCGGGGCCCAGCCACAGCCAGCACATGTCCTAACCTCGCCCCCATATCCAGGACATGCCCAGCTGCCTCAGAGTTGCAGGTGGACTGCCCTCAACAGACACTCAGCATCCATCTTACAAAGCCAGTGCTGGGGTGCTCACAGCTTGGCTTGGAGAAACTGCCAGGGGCTTCAAGCTAGTAACTTTCCAGCCTGGGGTGAAATAGGAGGCTGACATAGGGAGAAGAGCCAGTTGTGCACAGCACAGGCCCCTTCCTCCTCTGTTGGCAAAAACAGGCTCCCCTCTGTACAGGAGAAGCAGAAAGCCACTCTCTGGGTTCTGCCTTGACCATCCAGGAAAGAAGTCTGTGCAGACAGATAGGAAATCTGACCCCACCCAAGACCATCCGCTACCCACCTGCTGTCTGGATGGGGATCCACAGACTCCTGGGTGCTTGTCTGCCCAGAATCAGGCCTTAGGACCCTATCCACAGGCTGCCTAGGCGTTCCAGAGGCTCTGAAATTGTGGGTGCCAGGAGACTGGGCCCCCTTACGAAATGCCCCGAGACCTACAGCAGGCACATGACTGAAACAAGTGTCACAAAACATGGCACAGAGGCACAAACAGTTATTTTCTGTACTAGTTTTCAAGTGCAGGTCACCACCTACAAAATAGTTTTTCAGAGTTTCCAATGAGGTGAGAGCCAAGGCTCTGAGAGACCACGAGTTACTTTGCCCTTGATGCACACATGGGGCCTCCCTGACCCTCACAGAGAATGCACATTGGTCCTGAGCTTCTGCTAGCTTCTCTAAAAAGCCTACCCTGAGGACCCAAGTCCCTAGCCCAGCCTCACCCATCTGACAGACCCCAGCCCAGCCTCACCCATCTGACAGACCCCAGTCCAGCCTCACCCATCTGACAGACCCCAGCCCAGCCTCACCCATCTGACAGACCCCAGCCCAGCCTCACCCATCTGACAGCCCCCAGCCCAGCCTCACCCATCTGACAGCCCCCAGCCCAGCCTCACCCATCTGACAGCCCCCAGCCCAGCCTCACCCATCTGACAGACCCCAGCCCAGCCTCACCCATCTGACAGGCCCCTGCCCAGCCCACTTCATCTGGCAGACCCCAGGCCAATCTCACCTCATCTGACAGACCCCTGCCCAGCTCCACCAGGTCTTACAGACCTCAGCTCAGCCTCACCTCATCTGACAGACAGCTCCCCTCAGCGCAGCCCCACCAGTTCTGAGATACCCCAGCCCAGCATCACCAAATATGGGAGATCCTTTGCAGCCCTGGCCCATGTAGGAGCCCTGACCACATTATGGCACTTACCTGCTGTCACTGGGGCTGAGGAAGGCCAGCCTCACAGTTGTGTCCCTCCTTAAGCTGAGCAGGCTGTTTGGCTTACTGACGACAGCAGCAGGGGGGGTGGCAACTCCCCCTTCCTCTTCGCCCCCGCTGCTTGCGCCAGTCCTAATCAGCTGTGTTGGGGAATGGGGTTTTCTGGAAGGAAGTGTGATACCTGCCACCTCTGCTGACACTTGCAGAGAACCAGCATCTTTGCAAATAAAGAATATGTTATGGAACCAACTTGAAATAGCAAAACCAGGCAGCTCGGCCCTGCCCTTGGATGCTTCCTCTTCCTCAGCTCACTTCATACCTTCCCATCATGACTGGGCCCCCACAGTGTCTGTGGTCAGGAAAGGGCACCCTACACCCTGCTGTCTGGCAGGGGGAGCAACAGCATTCATACTCATCCAGGCTCATATTAGATACCTGAGAATCGCATCTCACATAACCAGTGACCATGTGTATGTGAATAAGATAGAATCAGGCGTGACCCAGCTGGCTCATAGATAAATCCAGACAGGCAACTCACAACCCTCTACCAGCCAAAGCTACTTCCCCAGAAGCCTTTCCAGGGCTTACTCCCTTAGTCCAGGACATCCCCTGACTCTGGTGGGCCTTGGTGGGCATTCTCAGCCACAGACATCTTCACTCAGGGTCGGGTGTTCCCCCAGGCCACAGGCCACCCTTCCTGCAGGATCCCTCCCAGTGCCATCCACCCAAGGGCAGGGCCTTGTCCGCCCCTTGCTCCCCACTGCACCCAGCCTTCCTTGGTGTTTGACCATCGTGCCCCTTCCCCCTCTCTTCAAAGCCAGAGAGGGGCTAAGGAAAACTTCAATCCCACCTCTCCCCATTTTTCCAGAAGTGGAAACTGAGACCCAGAGAAGGAGCATGTGGGCCAGAGTGTCAGAGTTGGTGGCAGGTCTGGGACCAACACTGGTCTCCTGTCTCTTCCCTGCCCAGAGGAAGACCTAGCCTGGCCCCAGTCACTCTGCCGTTACTGCAGGCACAGCCTGTGCCACTGGCTGCCCTTCCAGACCAAGGTCCCAAGGTGACACTCAGCCTAGTATGCGACTACCTGAGGCCCAGGGCTCCCAGGGGAAGAGGTGTCTCCTGCCTGGGTACTGGGTTGGGTTTTTATCCTCCCCATCTCTCCCACCCCAACCTCTGACAGCAGGTGCTGTTGGACAAGGGCTCGGTCTCCTACCATCATGTACACTGGACCACACAAGACGGCATTACCCCAGGACTTTCTCCACCTCTGGGTAGATAGCACACAGGCTGGGACGGCACTGTCCCTCCTTCCCTTCCTCTCCCCTCCCTCTCTCCCCTCCCTCTCTCCCCTCTCCGTCCCTCCCTCCCTCCCTCCCTCCTCCCTTCCCCACTGGGTTCCTTCCCAGCAGTGGCCTGGGGACCTAGTGGGCTGTGTAGCCCTGGGAAGACTAGGCTCTGAGTCACTATCTCCATTTGCACAGGACACAAGCTGCCCTCAACCTTGCCTCCGTGCCTTACACAGCCTCCACTTGTACTCTGGGCCAGGCCCTGCAGAGTACTCAAGGGCACTACTCCCCGGGCTGTCCTATGGGGCTTCCTGGCCCTTCGCTCAGGGGATCCAGGTCTGGGCATTGTTGGGCAGTGTGCTGGATAGCTTTAGTGTCAACTTGACACACCTGGGTTGAGGGAGCCTCAATCGGGGAATTGCCTCTATTGGACTGGCCTGTGGCCATGTCTGAAGGGCATCTTCTTGATGAGTGATGTGGGAGGGCCCAGCCCACTGTGGGTGGTGCCACCCCTGGGCAGGTGGGCCTGTGTTGCATAAGAAAGCAGGCTGAGCAGGGGCCAGGGGAGCAAGCCTGTAAGCAGCGTTCCTCCATGGCCTGTGCTCCAGCTCCTGCCTCCAGGTTCCTGCCCTGAGTTCCTACCTTGGGCTCCCTGATGAACTGTGACCTGGGAGATGTAAGACAAATAAACCATTTCCTCCCCAAGTTGGTATTGGTCAGAGTGTTTTGTCACAGCAATGAAGAACAAACTAAGACAGGCAGGTTTCAGGTTCTAGGTCAGGCTCATGGTCTCCCTGCTAGGAAGTCTGTCACATTCATAGTGCCCTTTTCTTCCACCAGCCTTAGCTCCTGGGCAGTACCCCCTCCCTGATGCTTGTCTGCCCCACCTGGTCCCTGCCCTGGCAGCAGCACTTACCTGCTAGGCCTGTTTGTGCTGAGTGGTTGCCAGGACCCTCTTCATGGTATGTTCTTTGAGCAGACTGGATCCAGAGCAAGGGCACCAGGAGACCACATTCCATCACCACTGCCCTATCTAAAAGAACCTTCTGGTAGAATCAAGTCACCCCATGGGAGGCTGCTCCAGGCTGTTAGGGGCAGGTCTTGGCTATCCCACAGGCTCATGCAATCATGCCTCCTCAGCTACTCAGGCCCTGGCTGCCTGGACTGCTCTAGCTGCAAAGAACATAGAGCACTGAGTATGGCGCACTGAGAACTAAGCCCTGGACGGAGCCAGGGATCCCGTGGATGCTAGTGGGAGGGCATGGGAGCTCAGGCCTGCAGTTACAGTGCAGTCCCTCCCTTTGAGGATTTAGGGCACTGTAGCCATTTCCAGAGCCTTAGGCTAGGGTGCTCTGAGCACACTTTCCATCAAGCCCCCGGGCTGTCCCGGTGCTCAGGGCAAAAGGAACAGTAAGGCTACCCGTGCCTTTGTCTGAAATGTCAGCATAGATCTGCACAGACTTGTTTCCTTCTGTCTTACTAAGACAAAGCCTAGAGCATTGGTTTTTCTTCAAGACTATATATTTCATGCTGTGCCCAGGCCACTGACTCATTTGGCCATACTCAGATGACCCGGCCCCCGGAGACAAGACTAGATAGCAGGGTCCCCTGTACCTTGGCCCCAGGCTATGCAGGGTAGGACCACCAGAGACAATAAACTGTTTCCCAGTTGCACTTTCTGTTCCTCTCTTTACTGAAACCAGGTCCGGAAATGACATCCTCGTGGGAACACCCCTTCCCCACCGGCTGGGCCCAAGGCTAGCAGGGACCTGACCCTGCTTCTGATGTCACTCTGCTGGTGGGTTCAGGGGCTGGAACCCCTAAGGGATGGGTTTGGGTGGGCTGTGAGCTCCACAGTCCTCTGGCCCTAGATGGTCCAGCTTCTCTTGTCCCCCTCCCACTCTCAGAAGAGATCCTTCCATTATCGGTCCTCAGCCTGTTGAGGCCATCTCCTCTTACTCTGAAGGTCATGTCCCCACTTCACATGGAAAAAAGATGCTCCAGGCGGTAACACTCTCAAACTCTACTTGTCTACTTGAACTGAAGCCCCCTACCATCTCAGGGCCCCCAGCTTTCCAGTTCCTCAGTACAATCTCACCGGGAAGGCTTATCTGGTCTCTGAAAGCTCCCAGCACTCAAGCCTGACCTCCTCTCTCCAGGAAGGGGCAGTGAGACCCCCTGGGCATCCCTCGGATCCACCTAGTCCCCCTCATCTTGTACTCAGCAGTCCCTCCGCAGGGCCCAACCCCAATGGCACATTCCTAATCTCAGCTTTTGCTCCAGTTCTCCACTTCGACTGCTGGGCATTCCCCGTGTCTCTCCTGGGTGGTTTTGGCCTTGGCCACTGTGCCCCGCTTTGGGCCTTGTGATTCTACAAAGGGGCAGTTAAACCCCAGGCTGTGGCTTTCACCCTCAACCTCAGAACCAGGGAAAAGCTATCATCTGGTCCCTGCCTCTGCAGGCCTTGTCAGGAAGCTCTATGACGTGGGCCAGACTTCTGTCCTAGGGCCTTGCCTAGAGCCTAATTGCAGCAAGCTTCCTGGGATCTGTGAGCCACCCCCCTATCCCACCCCCGACCATGGAGCAGGCTGGGGATTTATGTACTGGACTGAAGAACGGTACTGTTTCCTTGGCTCAATGATGGCTGGGACCTGACTTAACAAAGCCTTCATCTGCTAGCAGCACACATTCAAATCCCTGGCGGAAGTGGCAGGGGCTGGGATTCTTCTGAAAGACCTTGGTAGGGTGAGGCTAGAGGGTGTGGGCTCTTGATTAAGCAGGTGACCTGTGCGGTTGGGTGACTGGGACACTAGGATATTTGCCTTACTGGCTACTTTTATGTGTATTTGAAATTTCCATAATAAGTTTACATGAATAAAGAAATGAGTTCATGGGTATGAGAAGGTCCATGGAGGGCAAAGCCCATCAGTTATTTGGGCAGAAAGATACCCAGGGAGCAGAGGGACACACACACAGGGGTAGGGACAGGGACAGAGACAGGATGCTACAAAGCCAATAACTTTGCTGTGGGTCCCTTTAACCCAAGACTTACCCCACACCAGGTCCCTTGATAAGTACACTCCAGTCTGTCCTGTCCTGACTAGGGGTTTCCTGTGAGACCTGGGGTGATTCCATGAGGTCTTCCTGCACAAAGAAGGCCCTCAGGTTCCTGCTCCCACTGGTTACAAGAAGGATCTGGACCACAGCTTCCTGTTTGAATTTTGAGAGGCAGGGACACCAAGGCTTCTTCTCTGTGTGGGGTAGCGTGGAGGGACTGATTACGTAGCAGCCACTGTCTGTGTCTTCTGCTCCTAAACAAACACATTCTGTGGCCTCTGAGACACGTTGCCCACTCATACAATCATTTCATCAGAGACACAGTAAAGGCAAAAAGGAGGGAGCCATCTTGGAAACTCCAGGGAGGGCACTGAGGTCACACTCTAGAGGTCAGGCCTGAATCCCTGGGGCCTGTAGCCCCCCAATAAAGCAGCCCGCCCTCGGAATACCCCCAGGCATATCATCTAACCCAGACAGACTCACTCTCCCTTGGACACCTCTGGCTCCCTGCTCTTTGGCTGGCTGTCCCAGGACTCTGCTCCTCAGAAGTTGGTCTCTCATGCCACCTGTAATTAGTTGGTGCATTCGTGGTACAGTGACTGAACCCCTGGTTTGGGTGAGCGGACTGGCCTACACCAGCCTCTCTTCCTTCTTACTAGCATCTGGAGCTGACACATGGATTCCTTCCTGCAGTGGGCAACCCCAACCCCTGGCCATGCTAGCTCCATGGTCCGCTACAGGTTGAACTTCTACAGAGCAAGGGGGCGAGCAGTTTGATAGGAAGGAGAATCACCACAGGACGGTCAAGGGACATGGTGGGGACCCAAAGATTCCTCAGAAATTCCTCAGAAAATCTTGAAGGAGGCCTTGAGAGAATCCTAGGAAAAGCAAAGGAGTCTTGAGAGGACTTGAGGGAGTCCTGAAGGTATCTGAGAGAGTCGTGAAAGGGGTCTTGAGGGCATCCTGTAAAAGTCCTGAAGAGGTTATGAGGGGGTCCTGAGGTAGTCTGAAGAGAGTTCTAAGGGATCCTGAGGGGGCCCTGAGGGGTCATCAGGGGATACTGGGAAGGTCTGAGGGAATACTTAAGTAATTCTGAGGGAGTACTGGGAGCACAGGGAGGGTCTAAGAAGGATCTGAGAGGGTCTGCGAGGATCCTGAGGTAGTTCTAAGGGGGCTCTGGGAGACACTGAAGAGTCCTGCAGTAGTTCTAAGAGGGTTCTGGCAGATCCTGAGGGGGTCCCTGAGTGGTCCTGAGGGGATACTGAGAAGGTCTGAGATTATCCTGAGGTAGTCCTAAGGGGATTCTGGGGGATCGTGAGAGGGTCCTGAGGGGATCCTTAAGGAGGTGACAAGGTTCTAAGAGAGTCCTGAGGGGGTCCTAAGTGAGCTGTGAGGGGTTCTGAGTGGCTGCAGTACCGTCAGCTGCCCTTCCTGCCCCACCCATCCCTCTTCCACAAAGAGCCCATGTGAGTCTGTACTTCTAGCCCAGCACCCACCTCCAGCAGTGAGTCTATGTCCAGAGACACCCATGGGTGTTCTCTCTGCTCACTTGCCCTTAGTGCCCACAGATGGCTCAGGGCATCTGGCCCCTAGAGATACCTGAAGCAGTCCCACCTTATGAGCAAAACCTGCCCAGAGAGCATAGAAAGCAACAAGATTACAGAAATAGGAAGGTAGGTGCCCGCTCCAACACGACCTCCATCCCTAGTCATCCCAATGGCTCACTCACCTGAGGCAGCTCCTGCTCCTCTGCTCCAGCTGGGCCCTCCCAAAGCACTGTGCTACTTAGTCACCATGCTGCCAGAGACCCTTGTGGGACCCGCTCCAGGGCAGCCGAGTGGGGCCTTGGATGCTAGGTAGGCCGCAGGTTCCTGTCTCCTCGGATCCTCTTCCCGTTTTACTGCCCTTTAATTGCCCATCTACACTCCCATTCCTCCTCCGTTCACTACCAAGGCTTTCTCTGATTGGACGGCTGGCTCCTGGCCCATGCCGGCCTCACCACTGGGGATGCCGCCCTCCTCTATAGCCCTCCAACTACCAGGTGTCCCTCCCTGTCTCCAGAGGCCCTTTGCAGCAGGGTGCCCATCAACATACCTCCACTCTGAGGGGCTCTCTAACTACACCCCTGCTCCAGAGCTCTGACAGTCTTCCAGACACAAGCTCCAGTCCTCCATTGTGGCAGGGACCTTAGACTGAAGAAACCTGCTGGGACAAGAATGCCAGCCCTTGAGAGCCCTGTGTGGTAACTCACTCTTCTCCACGTGGAATGGTCACACCCAGCAACTGGACCAAGGCAAGAAGGGCCAGTCTTCATGTGGGGCATTTCCCATCTCCCTGTGTAGGGCAGCAGCCTCTTAGCTGGCTAGACTGAGGCCATCTGTCAGGTGGGGCAGAAAGTGGCTTTTTAAAACTTTTTTATTTATTTTTATTTATTATGTATATGAGTGTATGGCCTGCATGTGTGTAAGTGCACCCATGTCATGCAATGCCTGCAAAGGTCAGAAGAGGGTGTCTGAGTCCCCTGGAAGTGGAATTACAGATGGTTATTAGCTGACATGTGGGTGCTGGGAATCAAACCCAGGTCCTCTGCAAGAGCAGGCAGTGCTCTTAACTGCTGAGCCGTCTCTCCAGCCCCAGGAAGTGACTTGTTTAACCAGTACCCTAGACACACTGAGGTGTGTGATCCTCAACCCCCTTAGGAAACAGCTGAGGGTTCTCATGTCATCCTTTCCTCCCACCCCAGGGCCCCCAAGTCCTCTGAGACACTTCCTCTGAGGTTAGCAAAAATGATGGGTGATAGACGTGGAAGCAGAAGAGGATATGTGCATGGCGTGTTTTAGATATAAAAAAAAAACCCGCATGATCAAGAAAGGCACAAATTATCATCCCTCTACAGCACTGCTCTTTCAGAGGGAAGCAGGTCCAAGAGTCCAACAACCATCTCAGAGTGGC